CCGCCCCCAGCATCTCGGGCCAGACCTTGTCTGAGGGTCAGACCCAGGCAAGGGGCATGGGAGACAGGCTTCTGTGGGCGGGCTATCAGGACTGGCTTTCGAGGCAGAGAAGAGTAGATCTTGGGAGAGCATAAGCTGGTGATTTTGGTTTCAGAGAGCAGGCGGGAGGTGCGGTGGTGCCTATGGGTGATGGGAAGGGCTGCCCACTGCAGCTGAGGGCACACGCCTGTCCCTAGAGGCCGGCTTTGCCTGTCACTCCCCTGAGCGGAGCTGGTCCTCACACTCAGGGGCGCGGCTGATGCAGGAGGCGAGGGCCTCTGGAATGATGCACACGGTTGGCCCAAATGCCAGCTGCCCTTTGCTCTTTGCCTGAGCCCCTGGGGCACTGTTGTCCCCCCTCCGTAGCCTTGGTCATGTGGTCACATGTCCCATCCCTCCTGGAGGCCTGTAAGTTCCTCAAGACAGAGGCAATAGCTCATTTAGAGTCAGTCCCACAGGACTTTGAGGATAGAGCAGCGATTAAGTAGGGGAGGTTTGCCGACTGTGTGAGCCTAAGGTCGGATCCCAGGTGAGGGAAGAGGGCAGGTGACACTGCGAAGGGCCGAGGCCAGAGCCAGAACAGAAGCTCATGCTCCCAGGACCCTGGCTACATGGCCCCCTGCCTGGATCGCCCCCAGGAGCGCACCCTTGCTCCTGTCTGGTCCTCTCTCGACCCCGGCTGGGTGCTCTCCTGTGGCTGACTCCGGGGCAACCATCACTTCACAACTTCGTTATTTTATTCATTAAGCAATAAATACATGCAACTGTAGGAGGGAAATTAGAAAATTCAAATAAAAAACATCCACATATAATAATCTTTTTGTGAAACCCAATTTCCTCATCCCCTCCCATGTCATTAAATAAAATCACAATTGTTCATGAAAAGGCATTGACCCATCTTCTACTTCACTGTTCTCCTACAGTCGGGATTGGGGCTCTTCTGAAATGGCCTCATTTACTCCACTCCCACGCAGACCAGCTCATCTCCAAAGAGCTGTGGGGTGTGTGTGTGTGTGGGGGGGGTGTCCGCATTTCATGACCAAGAGCATTCTCCTTCCCTGAATCCTTATGTCTCATCCCAAGGCATTGCCAACTCTGCCCGGTGGCTGGCCAGGAGGCTGCTAACCCTCCTGTGACCTAGATGAGACCATTTGGTTGGGGTCATACAGATTGGGGATCCCTGATTCTGTGGGGGTTGCTGGCCAAGGTCAGGGCTCTTGTGAGAGACAGGAAGGGGCTCTGTCACCTCTTTCTTGCCGATGTCACCTCTTCTTCCCTGATGATAAGAGGAGCCGATGGCTCAGCCTCGTTTCGAAGCTTGAAAATCCCACTTTCCCTCTCTGAGACTGAAGGGTGAGGTGGGGTGGCGCTGGAAGGAGAAGCCACGTGGGAGAATGCTGAGTGGCTCTGGTTGGGGAGGGCCTGAGAGGAAGGATCACTGTCCTGTGGGACGTGCTCCTCCTACAGGCCGGGGCCCAGGCCCTGCGCCCCAGTCCTGCTGTCTCACCCCAGGGGCCCTCAGTCCTTCCATCCCAACCACTTCCCAGGGCCAGAGGCAGCCCAGGTGTGGGGAGGAGATTCTGAGGCCCGCGCCTCCCAGAGTTCCCAGGGACTTGGGGTCCTTCAGGGCTCTCAGAGCCAGGGTCTCACCCTAGGGCCTGGGGACCTCACCCTGGGCTGCCCTGGCCCCCAGGGGCTGGGCCTGTGCCTCCTTCCTCCTCCCCACCCAGCTGCAGAGACCTCGAAGAGGCTTTCCCCAACCACGCCAGCCCACACCGTTCTCCCCCGCCACAAGTTCTAGAAACTTCTGTCCTTCACGCGCGCTTGGCGATACCCCATGCCCTGCCCTCTCATTGTTCCACTGGATTACCAGTTAAAAGGGACGGCCCTGTGTCTTCTCCCCAGAGGGGGGCATGCAGCACTGCTCCATAAATACTTGTTAATTAGGCCGCTGATTGATTGCGGCCTCGGGAGGCCCCTCTCGCTCTGATCCGAGTCCCAGCAGCGGCGGCCCTCCGCCCGCCGTCTTCACACAGCGAGGGGCTAACTCCGGCAGATGGAGTGGAGTTTCTGACTTGGAAAATCCGCAGCTCGCTTGCTTCTCTTTTGTGTGTGTAAATCACAAAACCTCCGAAGAAAGAGGCTTTATTTTATTTTCCTTTCCCTTGTTCTCTGCAACCCCAGGCCCCGCGGCCTCATTAACTGATCTCTGCTTCAATTAGTGACAAATCCCCTCCCAGGGCGAGCCTGTTAGGAGGAGATGACCTGCAAACAAGTGTCAGGGCCCCGGTGGTTGGCCCAGCTCTGGCATTAATTAAAACGAGTCCCTACAAGCAGCCGCGTGGACGGGCTGACAGGCCCAGGGCAGATCCCAGGGACCGGGGACGAGCCGCAGGGGAGGCCAGGCCCCAGGGAGTCCAGCCTCCTGTCTGGACCCTGCAGAGCCCTTTCCCCTCTCACGGGAGCCCGTGGCCTTGGCCAGCACCCCCCAGATTCAGAGAGCCCCAGTTTGCATGCCCCGGAAGTGAAGTCTCATGCTGGTTGCAGGACCTCCAGTGTGGGGTTCGCAGCCTTCTGGTGAACCCTCTAAATAGCTCAGTGTCTGGCTTCTTGTTCGAGAATAAGTTAGCTGTCTGTTAACAAAGGAAGCCTCCATCGGCCCTCGCTGTGTGTTAGTCGGGAGTCGGTGTGGAGCCCTTGGTGGTCAGTCCCCCTGACCCGGCTGCATGAGGCCGACCCACTCAGTCCCTGAGGGGTGCACGTGTGTGAGCACTTCGCAGACACTGGTGCAGATGCACAGACTGGTGTGTCCTGCAAAATGCCGGGAGGGAAAGCTGGGATGTTCTGTGATAAAACCAGGATTATGAAGAAGGCGGCCCCTTGGGTGTGGGACGCAGGCATGGGACCCCTCATTTACACAGGGCTGACGGTTACAGGACAGACCAGAGAGAGGCGAAGGCAGGGCTGTGAGTTCCACAGGGAGGGCACAGCGGGAGGAAACCAGAAAATGAGTGGCTATGATGTGCAGAGTGATGGTGACGAGGTGATGAGGTGATGAGGTGATGAAACAGGGGGATCAGCAGGGAGTCACGGAGTACTGTAGTGCCACGCCAGGAACCCCTCCCGGGGTGCAGGACCATGGCATTGCTGGGGGTGCAGGCAGAAGTGGGCTGGAGAAGTCGTGGCAGGGGGGCTGGCAGGCCCAGCAGATGGACCGCCTTCATGGATGCAGGGTCTGGGACGAGAGTGGTCCTGGGGCTGAAGAGGAAGGCTCAGGGCTGACGTCCAGCCAGGAGCTGGTTGATGGAGCCAGAGTATGAGAGCTACTTCATGTCTGACCCTCAAACCCTCCCCCCAAGCCAGGTCTTAGCTGGCTGAGGACTTTCCCTTTTGGGGCAACACTGACCTCCATTTCCAAAGGGCCTGGGCCCTGGGGGTCATTTCGGTAGAGGATGCAGTGATGTCTGTTAACGTTTGCTGCTAGACACTGGAGGATAAGGGGGATCCCTGGGCTGAACCCCGCCTCCTCTCGGTTCCCATTGCCTACTCCGTGTCCCCATGACAGTCAGACAGGGAGGTAATCACAGTGGCTAACACTGATGGAATGCCAGGTGCTATGTCAGTGTCCATCTCCATTTTACAAATGAGGAAACTGAGACACAGGGGAAGTCAGTGGCAGAGCTGGGCTTCAAACCCAGGCTTACTCACACACCATTCTCCTAACACGGGGCCCTTCTCTTCCTGCTCCCCCGTGCCATAAGGAGGCCGGAAAATCCAAGCGGTGTTCACAGCTTCCAGGTTGAAGGAACGCACTGTGACCCCAGGTAGACAAGTCCCTCCCCAGGGCCCCAAGAACAGTGGGGACTGGAAGAAAATGTTTGAGAGGCTCTTTAGCGATACCAGGGTTAGACCCTCTGCTCACCTGTGTCCTTGGCTCCGGGCCTGTGTTTTCTGGCCAGAGTCAAGTTAGCCACATGCATTTGTCCCTGGTTCACAGGGTGCTCTGCCCCTGCAAGATGCACCTGGCTGGCTCTGGGGTCCAGGGTGCACCTCAGGCCTTGCTGTTCTTCTCTGGGCCTGACGGAGGCGCCGGCAGCCTGGGCATCCTGGGCCAGACTGTTGTCTTGCTGCTGTCACCAGGACTGGCTTCTGAGTCGAGGGCCCATCACATGGACCCTGTGGCATACTCTGAAGTGTTCCAGAAGCCCACAGAGGGCGATGCGGGCAGTGGGGGCTCTGACATGACTGTCAGCTCTGTATCTGTTCTAGGGAGGACGATGTGGTGTCCCCGCCTACGTGGAAGGGGTCTGATGGATTTGGTTTCCCAGCAGGTGGCCGGCGGGTCTCTGTGGGTTATGGTTCCGGGGTCAGGTCTGGTCAGTGTAACCAGCAAACAAGCGCCCCAGGCACAGCAGGAGCCGACTGGTGTTTTAACCTGTACCTGAGGCTGACCCAGCCGCGTGGCCCTTTGCTCCTGAGCCTGCTGCCAAGCAACAGACCCGCTGGGGTTGCAGGCAAATTAGAGGGTCCTGGGCCACTTTGTTACCAAGTTTATGCTACAGGGAGCGCCATCTGGTGGGAGGTTTTGGTACCTCAGAGTCTTTGACCTGCCCCAGCCAGTGCCCTCCAGCACCCACCACACTCCTGACCATTTGGTTACGTAACTTTCCACCACCTGAGAGTGGATGCAGATTCTGACCTCATGCCATCCCTCCTTCCAGGCGTGCCCCCTCCTGTTGTTCTCCAGGGGCCCCGGGACCCCCGATGGCAAGCTCCGTGAGTCCACAGAGCCCTCTCTGCAGCCTGCTGACCCCTTCCTTCTAACCTGGCTGCATCCTACTCACCCCTCAGGGCTCAGTCAGGCATCTCCCTTCCAGCAGCCTCGTGGCCTGGGGCCGCCCCTCCAGGACCCTCCTCCTGGTGGAGTGGATGAGCCATCCTCGCAGGTGGACTTAGACCCGCGTGTGCAGCACCCAGCACTGGGAGAGCTGTTCACTGAGGTGGACAGCCGTGCCTGCACAGGGCAAGTCTCCTTGTGGCTCTTCGCTGTCCCCTCCTCTTTCAGAAATCACTCACCTGATGTATCCTAGGAGCATTGATTAAGCACCTGCTCGTCTCACCAGGCAGGAGTTCAGTGAGGAATGAGAGAGACAGAGGCTCTGAGCCCAGTGCTTCGGGCCTATGAGGAGAGATGGATGTTTAGTAGAGTCCACAAGTGAAACCATTTCTGTGAAATTCCGTTTTTAAATCCTACACACGTATTACTTTGATTTACAACATTTTAAGAAGGTAAACAAGCAGGTACTTAGAGACCACGATAGCTATAAGGAAGGAAGAGGTCCAGGGAAGGGCAGTGCTTGGAGGCCCTGGGGAGAGAGAGATCGGGGTGGGGCAGGGAAGGAGGGATGGAGAGAAAGAGAGAAAACTGGCTCACCAGAGGAGCAGGGACAATGGTGAGGTGGCTGGAGCCTTGCAAGCAAGGCCAGGCCATCCAGTGAAGCTGTGCGTGTGTATAATTGCAACAAGAAGCCATGGAAAGGCTAATGCAAGTTGATAGCCATATTTAGGAGGTCACTCCGGCTGCAAGCATGTCAAACTTACAGCCCACGGGTCGCACGCCTCGTTTATTTGGCTCGCATTAGCCTTTGCGTTTGACATGCTGGTGTAGTGGATTGGAGCGGGGCGAGAATGGAAGCAGGAAGCTGAGCTAGAAGGTGGGCAGCCGTCTAGGGAGCCTGGTGCTTCGGCTAAGTGGTGGGAGCAGAGAGAGAGGAGTAGCCACGTGCCAGGTGTCCAGGAAATGGAACAGATAGCTCTGCAGGACGGGCTGGACGTGGGGTGGAAGACTCCTAGGTCTCCGGCATGAGGAGTGAGCTGGGAATGGGAGAGGAACCGGCGTGGCTGAGGAAGAGCAAGGCAACCTTCCTCTGGGGTGTGTGAAGGGGGAATGCCTGAAGCCCCTTGGAATGGAGGCATCCCGTGGGGATCAGATGTATGGGCTGGAGGAGTGGCCACAGGCTGGGTGAGAGAAGGCTGCATGCATTGCTCAGGCCCCACCCGGTGTCTCCCTGCTGGCCTTGCCGAACTTAGGGGATGTTGTTGGCCTGCGCAAGGCCCTGATACGTAAGGAGCCAGCTAATAGCCACATAGCTCATGACATTGAAGGTCTGTGTCATGGGGCTCCCACCCCACCCAGGTCTTGGTGCCGGTCAGTCCCCACCGTGGGGATTGCCAGGAAGCCAGTCCTCCCTCCTCTTGCTCTGCTCCCGCCAGTTGCCATGGCAAAGTCACCAGGCCGAGAGCGGGAGCTTGGCGAGAAGTGGCCAGAGAAGGCCCACTGCTTCCTCGGACCTTCGCTGATGTCCTGCTTCTGGCTTCTCCCAGGATCCCCGGCTGCTGGCCACATGCGAATTCTCGTGCAAAACCCACACCCTGTTTGTTTTCCCCTCCGCCCAAATGGAGCCCCTGTTTGGTTAATTTCTTCTTGGTGGCTTATTTGGAGGCTGTTAAAACAGACCCGAGGGGACCCTCAGCAGCGATGGTTCCATATCTCATTATCTTTCCCAAACCCGATTATTAGCTCAGATTTTTCTGATTGCTAGCTGCTGTTCGTGATGAGTTGTGTGCCATTAATGCCAGCTGGTTCCCTTAAACAGGACCCACCATGCCAGGGAAGACGAGCTGGCATTCAGAGCCACCAGCCACTTGGCTTTTTAATTTTAATGGGCTCCACCAAATGTTCCAGGCCAAAGGGCCCCGAGAAACCAGAACAGACGGGCTCCCAACCCCCGGTCTGCAGCCCACCCTGGCTCTCTCCTGGGCTGTGGCCATCCTCGCTGCTGGGACCGTAGGGCCTGTGTTGGAGGCTGTAGGAGCCGAGGGGGTGAGTGGCCACTTGCCTTCCCTGTGTTCATGCCTGTCTGCCACCCGCCCATTATCCGTGCCCAGGAAGGAGCCCAGGCCTTCTCCCAGCTATGCCGGCCTCCAGCCCCTTTCCTGGCCTGTTGGCCATGCTCTCAGAAACGTGTGTGTGTGTGTGTGTGTGTGTGTGTGTATGTGTCTTACCCGCCCCTTTCCTGGCCTGTTGGCCATGCTCTCAGAAACGTGTGTGTGTGTGTGTGTGTGTGTGTGTGTGTGTGTCTTACCCGGTCTGTGCTGGGGAGACTCCAGTTGGCTTTGGGGCAGGGGAGGCTGGAAGGGACCTGGGCCCCCGGCATGGCTCTCTCTCCTTTCCTCCTCTCCACCCTGGGCTCCCATGTGGGGTGCAGGAGACAGGCTGGGCCAGTCACTCTGGACTGTGCCGTCCTAGGCAGGAGGGGAAGGCTTGAGGGTAGGAGGCAAGTCTGAATGTTGCTACAACTGTGGCCCCTATTCCTCCTTCCTGGACCATACCCCAGCCCTGCCTTCCCGCAAGCTCCCTGCTGGCTTCTTGGAGGGCTCCTGCTCCCACTCCTCTCACACTCTGCCTCGGTCTAAATGAATGTGAGCGTTTTGAACCCAGACCTTCTGATTTCTAGTTTGGGGTGGGGAGTCCAAGAGCTCTGCCTTCCCCCTTCCACTCCTCGGGGCCCCAACCCCAAGCTTGTCTTTCCAGGGGGGCTTTACTGAGCAAACAGCCAGTTTAAATGGCATGTCAGGCATTAAAGCACTCCTCATTGAGGTGTGAGACAATTGGAAATTAAATAGCACAGTGGTTAAGACCACAGCTTTGGAATTAGCAGTCCCCGGGTTCAATCCTAGCTTCACCTGCCTCCTTGGACAAAATTACTTAACCTCTCTGAACCTGAACCTGTCTGAACTTCTCTGAAACTGTAAGAAGGGGTAACGTCCTATCTAAAAGCCTTGAAGTGGGGCCCTAGTCAGTTTGGTTCAGTGGATAAGAGCGTCAGCCCCCAGACTGAAGGGTCCCAAGTTCAATTCAGATCAAGGGCACATCCCTCAGTTGCAGTCTCGATCCCCAGCCCTGGTCAGGGCCCATGCAGGAGGCAACCATTGATGTGTCTCTCCACATTGATTTTTCTCTCTCTCTCTTTCTCCTCTTCCTCCTCCTCCTCCTCTTCCTCCCTTCCACTCTTTCTAAAATATCAATGGGAAAATATCCTCAGATGAGGATTAACAACGACAACAAATAAAAAAATAAAAGCCTTGTAGTTGGGTTTAATTGAGATATTTCATGTGAGGTGAGTGGCCGGGCATCTCCCCATACCCTCCACACTTTCCCTCTCTGCATCTGTAGGAACATATTCCCTGGTATTTGGGGGGAGGGCACCATTTGAGTCACAGAATTGACAGTCACTGGCTGCTGGGAGCTGGGAGAACTGAGCTTGATGAGGTCCATCTCAGGCAGGGGCAGCCCTGAAGCAGGGCATCAGGGCCCAGTGTATGTGGCAGCTCCCAGGCTGCTCCGCCGTCCACCAAAATGTGTCCAAGCTGCCGTGCCTCCCAGCATCCCTTGGACAAGCAGAGGACAAGGACTGGACTCTGAGCACCAGCTTGAGGCTTCCAAGGGAGGCCAGGCGCCCAGGAGCCCAGGCTGGGTTTGTGCCTGGCAGCCCTCTGGCTCTGTGGGGCCCTGGGTTGTCTTCCTGGGTCCCTGGACCATCTCTGCCGTGCCCTGCTTTGACTGCTGCAGGCACCTAGCAGCCCTGGAGGCCTCCCAAGGCTAAGCACCTTCCCCAACAATGCAGGAGGTTGAAGCCAGGGCCAGGGCTGCGGGTGCAGGTGGTCTGCTGAGCCAATAGGTGTGCCAGACCAGAGCAGGCAGCCCTAGGACTCCTCCCCGGCCCCTGCCTCAGGCCAGGAATAACGCACAGGGCAGGGCTGGCTCTGGCCTCCGTTGGGGAGCAGGGCCCTCTGCACACCTGTCTCCTGGCCGCATGCATCTTTGCTTTCTCTCTCCCCATGCCTGTGCCTCTGCTGTTTTCCCCACCCAAAGGCCCTGTTCCTCTGCCTGGACTACCTCCCCTCCTTCCCTCCTCTTCCCGTGGCTGATCACCCATTCATCTCTTTATCGGTTCCTGGGTTTAATCCTCAGTCACCGTGGACTCAGCATGCACTAAGTGCCATCCACCGCCTTAAGTGCTGGGCATACGAAGATGAAAAAGACACGGTGCCTCCCTCCCAGCCTGGTGGGGACATCACACCCGTGAGCGGCATTCTGAGTGCTGGGGAGGAGGGACTCCTGATGTGCAGGGCAGGGACTTCCTGCCAGGGAGAGGCGACATCGTTCTTAGGGAGCTTAGTTTATTGAGGCTGTTTAAAGCATCACTGCCCTGTCACCCCAGGTAAACAGCCGCACTGCAGTTCTGCAATCGAGGGTCTGGGGGACAGCTGCAGGGGAAGATGGCGCCCCTCGCTCTCCCCCCAGCCTGCCCCCTTCCTCCCTCAGGCGGCTGTAGCACCATGCACTTTTTCTGTTTTCTCTTTCCAAGGTGGGCCTTAATGTCTTGGTTCAGAAAGCCAACAAGTTCACCCCGGCCACCCGCCTCCTCGTCCAGAGATTTGTGCCCTTCCCCGCCGTAGGTAAGACCTGCACAGTGCTGAGCATCTGCATGTGTGTGCGTGTGTGTGTGTGTATGCATGTGCGTGTGCATGTGCATACATGTGCATGGGCATGTGGGGCTCTCGGGGCTCTTGGGAGCCGGTCAGCGGCTCTACACTCTCCTGACATGGGGTGGGGGGTGTTTCTTCACAGGGACAACTGGAACAGAACATATGTAGATAGAGAAAAAGTGACGGGGGCCAGGCTGACTAGCTCTGTGTCCAAAGTTCTACACAGGGATTCTGAACCTGGGCCCCCAGGCCCCCAAAGGGTCAGAAGATAGAAGGCAGTGGATCCCATGAACTTGGTTGGGGAAGGATTTATACTAACCTCTAGCTGAAATGTAACGTTTCCTTCCATTATGAATGTAGGCAGCAAACCACAGTAATAAGCCGGTCGGTGACTGTCACCAGTAGAAAGCACAGATGTTCTCACGTCTCATCACAGTTACAGAGATCTTAAAATATTGCTCAAAATCAATACCAACAGATCCACTGGCCGATCTTGTTTTTAATCCTTAGTTAAAAAGCAGATCTATTACTGTATCACAATTTTTAAAGTATTTTGATAACATTTCGATATGATTCCTTTATGGTCCTATGTATTTTGTTTTATGCAGTTAGACACATTGTTTGGAGAGAGGTGCATGGGCCTTACCAGACTGTCCCAGGTTCCTGACACAAAGCTCCCGCTAGTCTCGCGTTCTTGGGGTATTGTGGGCCCGTTAGGGTTCGGAGCCCCCACGCACCTTCGGGTAATTGTGGGCGCGTGAGTGTGTGTAGAGGGGATCTCGCCTGCCTGCAACCGAGTCCTTGCTGATCTTGCGTCTCTGAGCTCACAACAGATGCCCAGGCCTGGACCCGGAACCCCTCAAAGCCCAGCTGACTCTTCACACACTGCGGACCAGTAGGTTTATTGCCAGCTTTACCCCGTGGCCAGATAAGTTTCCATTGAAGGAGGACAAAAAACGTTTTACATAACTGTGAAAGGCACGCTTTAAAATTAAATACCCATTGCATTTTGAAGTTATTACAGGTTCTTACAAGCTAATATCTTTTTAAAGTATGAGACTTCGTAAAACACTGTGTAATATGAAGCGAGAATTCTCCTGATCCGTCCGCAATGTGTTAAGAAGCCCACGCCTTGTTTGGGAAGAGAGCACCACCGTGGGAAGATTTTTAAAAATTAAAAAGAAATAAACAACACCGAAGGAACCCTGGGGCAGTCCGTGATTAGTAATCAAAAGAGGAGTATAAGCCAGTGTTTGAACCATGACACTGAGTTCCCCATCTGAGGCCAGAGGACAAAGATGGGGGCCAGCCCACGGGCGCGGGGTCCTGTGCTGTCCTTGGTGCCAAGCCTCCGTCTAAAGAGCTGGGAGTCAGACCCAAGTTCATGGTCCAGACCTGCTCTCCTCTTCCAGAGCTCAGTTTCCCCATCTGTACAATGGGCACCAGCACTTACCTTTCTACAGGCCAGAGCTGTGGGAGGATCAAATGAGACCACAACCAGACTACCCTCCTAGGAGAGTGCTTGGAACCACCTGAAAAGCTCCCGGGAGATCATTCCTGGGCAGCCCCACCTCCTCGATGGCCCAGAGGCTAATGAACTCCCAGGACCAACCTGCTCGATGAGCCTCGGCCAACCCAGATAATTGCTATAGCAACTCCACACTTTTAATGAACCCTCAGCTATTTCTAGTGCGGGCCATTAATGGAATAACTCTTTAGATCTGACTTTGTTAAGGGGCCTAATTGAGTGAACACGGCTGCTGTTCTTGGGGTCCTTGCCCTCCTGGGCTGGAGGGTTAGGTGCAGCCCGAGAAGGCGGCAGCTCTCAGCCGCACTGGACTGGATCTGGGACTCGGCTAAGATGTAATCTGTCCTTGAGCCAAGCTCCAGACCAGGACTCCGCCCGGGGCCCATTCCAGCCCTGCTCTACTGGCCATCTTGCTGTGTGACCTTGGGGTGGTCTTCACCTTTGTGAGGCTCCTGAAAGCAGGAGGAGGGTCCCTGCTCTCAGGGTTGACCTTTCTCTCATCCCCACCTGAGACTTTCTCTATTTGGGCTCCAGCTTGATTACTCTCCTGCCTTCTTGTTGGGGAGGAGCCTACAGCCCCTCGCACACGTGCAGCCACCCGTGAGGGGCCTTGCGTTCCTATGTGTCCCTGGCCAGTTGCACAGGTTTGCACTCTGTGTGGTTTGCAGCCCTGAGAGTCCTAGGTTGCCAGGATCCGGAGAGAAGCAGGCCCTTCCTGGCCCCTTCCTCAGGCCCAATGCCCAAGTCCTGGCTGTGGACCTGCCTGTCTTCCACCGCCTGCCCAGTCTCTTCTCCCCCACATTCAAGCTTCCAGCTCTCTGGCCCCCATTGCCCATCCCAGGCCCAACTGCAAATGGGCACTAGCTGACTCCGCTGGTCATTGCTGACACAGTGGTAGTGGGCATGCCTCTCACTCTCCAGGGGCTCAAAATTCCCTTGGTCCTCTCAGGCCACCATCTAGTCCATGCAATGTGGCCTCCCTCCACCTTATCCCCAGGGGCCTCTGGCCAGGACAGAGCATCTCTAAGCTTTCCACGGCTGCTGGTCCCACCAGCTGTTCACCCCTGCTTTCCACTGCAGGTGGGCCAGACTGGGACGGGCCACAGCTAAGACCACTGAGAAGAGGGCTCAGGACTTTCTTTACCTTGTAGAGCAGTGGTTCTCAACCTTCTGGCCCTTTAAATACAGTTCCTCATGTTGTGACTCAACCATAAAATTATTTTCGTTGCTACTTCATCACTGTAATGTTGTTACTGTTATGAATCGTCATGTAAATATCTGATATGCAGGATGGTCTTAGGCGACCCCTGTGAAAGGGTCATTCGACCCCCAAAGGGGTCACGACCCACAGGTTGAGAACCGCTGTTGTAGAGGGTTCTTTGCCCCTTTGGAGGCCGGCCGGACTCACAGAGCTGTGAGTGCACAGGGGAAGTGATGGATTGAGCCCTGGCTGCTGGGATGTGTGTGTAGGAGGATGGAACAAAAGGGGGTCTTCAGGGTGAGAGGGGTCCTGAAGGGGCTTTGGTGCACTGTGCTCAGAGGCCACCTCCCCACTCTGTCCCTCCTGGGCAGGCTGGAAACTCAGGCTCTGGGGAACCAGGAGACTCCCGGGGGTCAGTTGCTCCTTCCCACCGCTCTGTCCAGCTCCTCCCTGGGCTCCTGCCCCAGGCTGAGGTCTGGGAAGCAGGAGGACAGCTGTCTGCACTGAGACCCATGCGCTGCCCAGGAGAGAGGCCTGAGACCCCTGGCCCAGGACACCTGGCTGGCGCCTGACTCTGCCACTCCCACCCCTCTCTGGCCTCGGACCAGGTCCTATTTCAGCCCCTTTCTGCTGGGACTGCAGGCCTCCCCTGGGTTTGTAAAGCCCAGTATTCCCGAGGCCCCATAGCTCTCCGCATTGCCCCCAGCCGCCTCTGTTCCCCTCAACTCTCCTCATTCTCTCTCTGGGAGGACACTCGGGCAGGGGGAGACATCCCATCTTACAGAAGAAGAAACCAGTTCAGACTCACTAAGGGTTATCCTGACCTGGCCACAGCCCAGGCTGCTCCAGCCACTCAGATAACCTTCACTGCAGTAGCTGAGAGATTGAGGGGTGGGGTCCAGAGGCCGGCTGTTCCGTGTCCCACCAGGAGCACCTCCAGTTTTGCCCCTGGTTTTTCAGCCGGGGTTGTGTGTATGTGTGTGCATGTGCGTGCGTGCATGTGTGTGTGTGTGTGTGTGTGTGGAGTACGTGGGGAGCCACAAGGACACTCCCTGCAGCCTCTCCCCTGAGGTGGTTTCAGAGCCGTGCTGGGCCCTGGTCTAGAACAGCAATCATGTGGGAAAATCTCATTGCTATTTATACATGGACATGTTAGGAAAGACGGTGAGTGCTGGCATTGGAATCGATTGGGGACTGGTAATTAATTTGTTTAGACCTTAATTAATTCTCCAGTTCTTTCTTATTTGTGGACTGTCACGCTTAATTGTGTTCAGGAGCTCGAGCTTGGAGCAGGCCCTCCATTAATTGACGTGAGGTGGAAGTTAATGGTTTGGGGAGCTGGGCAAACAGTGTAATTAAAGGTCAATTGAGGAGGCATCGGAAAAATACAAACCTCCAGGTCCAGCCACCAGGCTCCAGGCGCAGTCCCTTTCCGCAGAGGCAGGCCCCACAGCAGCCTTCACGGGGGGCCTTGGGTGGGGGCTGGGAGCAGTGGCCAGCAAGAGGAGGTCCAGGGGTCCCATGGCGAGAGGAGTAGATGCACCTTGTCAGGGATGGGCGGGGCAGGGGCTTTAGCCAGGAGCTGAAGGTGGGGACCCCAGGGTCACCTGGCAAGCATGGCCGTGTGCTCAGGCTCTTGTATCTATGTGTGTAGGGGGCAGGGCAGGGAGCTGTGAAGGTCACCCCCAGACTGCCTGGTTGAATCCATGCCGAGCAGGGGACCAGCAGGGCCCGGTGCTCATAAAGACCCCCATGTGGGCTCTGAGCTCCCCATGGGGAGGCCTAAGCCTCAGCACCCACCCCCCCGACTCCCTGCAGAGGGAGCAGCCTTCC